AGCATCAGTTGTAGAGCTGTGCTCCAGCTGATTGGCTGTAGTAGAGTGGGAGTTATTGCTGTCCCTACTCTGAAGCCCACGGAGTCCTGTTTGATGAAGGCCATCTAGGAATATTCAGCACAAGACCAGTCAGTCAAATCCAGATTGCTTGGGGTTGAGCAGTTCACGTGGATTTTGTAGAGCTGGTACAATGTAAAGATTAGTGGAATCAGTGAAGTGACAAGGAAGCTGATTGAAGGTTATCAGCTCAGGTGCATGGATAGAATGGCAGCCTTTAGCTGAGAGCTCTTGTTCCTGTGAAGAGATAGAAGACTGAAGCCATGAGTGAATTCTGGCTAAAGAGGGTTCTACCTGAGCAAAGTTCAGATGCTGCTGTGTGGCTGGGCATATCCTTCCTGTAGGAAGTGAATGCCATACCTTTTACATAAAACCCTGAGCTAGCAGACCAGTATAATCAACTAAAATGGACAATATCGTGCTATATATTTATTGTTGGGTTGTGGGATTTTAATAGTTCATTAAATTTACACTGCTATTTTGTGGATGATACAAAAAAATGACTGTGACCTGGCCAGCACAAGAGCTCTTAATACAACTATGAGAGAGTGAGCTGAAATCTGATCTGGCTCATTTGTTATCAAGGAAAGTGCTTGCTGTATTTTAAAGTGTTCAGTAGTGAAGCTAAGGCAGAGACCAGAAAGGATATGTCCAGATTTTCAAACCACATCTTGAGTGGATGAAATTGCCTTCTGAAGGAAAAAATGCTTTTCTTGTAAACTAGTCAAAATTTATGAAGTGTCAAAGTGATAAAGCAGTAATAATTATAGCATTCACACTACTGCTTAATTGTTTTTCAGCATATACTTCAATATATATGTGTCTCAGCATCTAATACACTTCAGTGCATGTTACTACAGTAATTGTATTTTCTATATCGTATTTCCCTAAAACTTTAAATTAAAGGAATAGGCCTGTGAATGGTAGGAAATTCAGAAAGGCGGTGAAAGGTGAAAAGATACCAGTGAAGTGAGAAAGTGATGAAAGGAAGCTATGGTCAAAGCAGATACAACATCTGATCTGTAATTGGCATTATCTTAGGTATTAGCAGCGGATGGTCTGACAGGGAGGGCGGGTTTGTTCATGGCTCCAGAGCTTTTACAGCACCTTGATTACTGTTGCCTTCCCTTTTTGCTTTAGGGAAGGTCTTTTTCACAATTCATCCAGTAATGCTAGTTGTTGTCAGTACATGCGTTCCCTTTAACCTACCCACTTAGGCATATTTGTTTGCAAGTTTTCTGGGTGAAACCATGCTGATGTGGAAGAAAGTCCTTCAACTTGTCTGTCCAGAGCCTTACCCACACCCTGGGGAAAGGATTTCTTACCAGGTTTGAAAAGAATGGACATACTTTGCTGTCAGTTCCAGCCTTGGACTTTGCTCTTAGATGTCATCGTGTTGCTGACATTACAATGCTAGATCCTGCAGTGTTTTCACTCATCCCAGGCAGTTCCCAGCTTCCTGTGTCCTTTCACCATTCTCCTTAAATAAACCTTCCTCATTCCTATACTGGAAATCTTCTTTGTATTTAAGCCATGCATGCCAGAAGAAGGAGTGCCACATGGACCAGTTTTGGGAGAAGGATAGCATTTAGCAAGCCTGCGAACATTTTACAGCAAGTTGTCTATTTCAGTAGTCTCTGTGAGAGCAGAAGCAGGAACCTAAACAACTTCATTCTGATGTGATGCTCATCAGCTCCCCTTGGTTACTGCACTCTCTAAATTATAGATTAGAGGAGAAGGAAAAAATACATCACTGAATTGCCATCACAGTGTCTTTTTTTATGCTTCCCTTCTCCTTCCAAACAGCCCTGCTGTTCGGTAGTGACTCCTAAAACTCTTTCAGGAGATTGTAATGCATAAGTGTATCATTTAAAGATGATTGAATTCCACTCTTAAATCTTCAGCTCTTTCTAAATTAAAGCTTGATAGCTATTAAAGATGCTGTGCAATATGTTTAAGTCAAGTTATATATAGATAGTCTAAGAGAATATGTTGCCCTTTACATGTGCTTGCAATGATCCAAGCTATTCTTTGTAGTTATTTAGGATTTTATAACCTTTTTTTTCAGGATATGAGTGACACTGCATGAAAACAAATTGTGTAAAGGCACTGATGACAGGACATTTAAGTTAGCATAGACATTTCAATTGAAGTACAGTGTGTTAGTCAAATGCTACCTGCTGGGCTGATTAGCTGTAGCACTATAATTCTGTAGTTTGTGTTATACAGGAAATCATAGTAGAAAAACAAATGGGTTTTGCACTTTGTAGTGTGGGAATATATACATGTCCTTTGCTTTGGTATTTGCTCTGTCTTAGGTTCTGGAATGACCAAAAGATGTGTATGTGCTTTCAGGGCACTTCTGTTTTCTTAAGCGCATAGCAGAGTGAGGGGAGCAGTGATTGCAGGGAAGGAACTGATTTTCTGTTAGTTTGTCGGTTTTGTGTTGTGTTTGTTTTTTAACGGAGCTGATAGCTTTCAGATGAAAAGGTTGTCAAGGTTTTTGTTAGCCTTAGCCTCTCTATGTTTTTTTTTTTTTTGTTAAGTAAACAACGTGTATATACCTAGACCTTCAAACAGGGGCTCTGAAAATCTTACAATGTCGGGATTCCTGTCACTGCTGCCAAGACTATTGAGTGAAGGGCAGGACTGTCAACCTGATGTGCCGAATTTTAGCTTTCCTCTCTGCCTGCTTCTCTTGTACTCCAGCTGGGTTTGTTTGTGAACCTGACATGTCATGTTTTCCATTTTCACAATCCATGCAAACCCTAAATAATACTACATTCCCTCCTCAGATACTTTTATTAGTTTTCTTCCAACACACCACAACCCCAAACCTCTGCTCTATGAATACCTTTTCAATAGATCTACTCTGTGCTAGGTTGATTTTATTTTCTTACTTTTGGAAAACAACTCACTTCCCTGTTGCTGTTGAATAAGGAGTAGGACTTTTCTTCAACACGCAGTACTGTGGCAATCTATCAGAAAAAACTGCAGTCACTGAACACTTCATTGTTTGAGATAGGTCCTGTACTTCTCAATAAGTACCCATGTGAATAACAGAACAGGATTTTTCTGACATACTGGCAGTTTTATAAGGAAAATAAGACACACTCAGAATGTTATTGCACCATTTTAATTACAGATCAGGCAGAGTTCTGTGTTTCCTTCATCCTTACCTTTTAAACTGTAGAAAATGTCAAAGCCAAAACAAACAAGTTCATGTGTGGTGAGACATGCATACTAGGAAATTATACAGTAGTTGCTCAGCTTTTTGAAGACTGGGCTAGGTTAATATTTAAGCTTTAAGTCTCATTGCTCACAAGAAAAACAACATACATGTGGATTCTGAGCCTTTGCAAAGCTACTTTAAACTTCACTGTGGTTCCACATTAACGTAGCAGATTTTCCCCATGGCCTCTGTTGGGGTTGGGGGCATTTTTACTGCTGATTGTCTGGTAGGGAACTGGTGTTGGTGGGACTTTTTAATAGTATTTTCAAGAATTTATTCATCCTTTTAAATCACCATCATCACCAGTCAAACAAAAGCAGTTTGTTTCTACATTGGAATCAATAAAACAGATAATGTATTATGGTTTAACTGGGAACACATGCTTTTTTGCTTTTGCTGTTTTGTCTTCTGTTTAAGGATATGTATTCCTACCATTTGTATTCTGTTGGTTGCATGTTAGGTCTGTGTCATCTGTAAGCTGCACAGAAAATACATGCTGTTTGCAGTACAAGAACAGGGTTTTTTTTGTTTTAGTGTTTGCTGCTAATACAATGTGTTATGTTGATCCGTTCTGGCTTCTCAAGTATTTTCCTGGTGGTACTGAGAAAGATGGTGTAATTCTTCACAAAAAGGAAGAGAGGTTAATTTTCATGCAAACCAATATTCAACAGAATCATAAAGCTCTAGCCCTGGTAATAAAAATAGAAGCTGATGCTATTAATTTATCATTGCAGATACACAGAGCACCATTATGTGGCTCCTGGGTTGAGTAAAACTTCATGTAATCACAGTAGCCATAGACTTAAGCCCCATAAAGTTGGAAACTTCACCAGATGGCCATTGTCAAGGCAGCTTCTAAAGACTTTAGAGCTGCAATGTGTTAGGGCTCTAGATATGGCTTAGTCAGTGGTAGCTTTTTAAAACACAATTACTGAACATAACTGATTCACATTATGGAAGTAGTAATAATAATAATACTTTGCCCTCAGTGACCTTTTATCTGAGGACCCAAAAACTCTTAATCAAGGCTTTTAAATACTCCCTTTCTGCTTATAGGAAATAAAGTGTGCAGAGTCTTGATAAGGGAAATGAAGCAGCAGCAGTCCTACCCCTTGGCCTAGTGCAAGTAGTCAGGTAGAGATGATGTTCCAGTTGCTTGGAGTGGAACCTCCTACTTCAGTAGTACTTTTAGTCTTGAGTAGAGCCAGCCTGTGAGTGGAAGTGCTTGCACATTAAAATGCTGTGAGGAGAACGGCATATAATGGCCCTGATCTGAAATTTCCTTTGTTCGCTTTGTAAGCAGTGACAATACAGAAGTGATGTTAAGATCTGGGGATACTAAGGCTCAGATACACCACAGGTATTTGAGAGCTTAGGTGTGGAGTAATGTATCATAGGCTCTACATAATCAGGGCAGACAGTTAAGTGCATGCAAAGACTGGCTTCTATTTTAGAGAGAACAGTTATGTACTTTATAAAAGCACCACATGTTGGCCATGAATTTACCGAGCTTTAATACTCAGCCTCAGAACTCACATAATGGTATTTATCAGTAATGGGAGTAAATAACTGTATTTGACATCTGCTTTTGTAAAGCCAGTAGTTATTTTTTTCTTACTCTTTTCCCCAAAGTGATTTTATTGTTGATTTTCAGGGTTTAGAGATCACTCCTGAAAGTTTTGTCAGTGAATGTTCTTGTTTTATCTTTTAGATCGATGTGATTGTGACTTTGGGTGGACTTGGAGGACGCTTTGACCAAATAATGGCATCAGTGGAAACGCTTTTTCATGCAACAAAAATCACGCCTTTGCCAGTGGTAGTTATCCAGGAGTGCTCACTGATTTACCTGCTTCAACCGGTAAGTGTTATGAAAAGCTACTTCATAATAAAACTGACCCTCCACCTATGCTAACCCTGTAGGTCTTACACCATTAAATGCTCATTTACTTAATTGTATTCTCTAGGGTCAGAGCATAAATACAGAAAATATTGCAGGGAAGTGGACAGCAAATGATGGGCTCTGCATTCTTGCCTTGAAAAGCATTGTGTTTAATTTGTTCAAGAGAGATTTGTTTAAAACGGGAGGAACAAGAAATCCAGAAAGTATGAAACCTCAGTTTGGGTAAATACAGGATTTTGATTATAAATGAAAAACAAAACCCAAAACTTTTAAATTAGATTCCAGTAAGTTTAAATTTAGCACACAGTACTTTTGCATGTTGAGTAGCAATGTTGAGTAGCAGTAGGGATGTCTGAAGTAAGAGTAACAAAAGAAAGATATAAGAGGAAGATACGAGGGAATTCCTGACAAACTTAGGCAGAGATCTTATGTGGTCCGAGTGGTACAGTTCATTGTGATGGTAATCCAGCTAGCATCAACAAGGGAATTCATTTAAGATGTGTTATTTTTGTGGGTTTTCAGGTCTGTTATTCCATTTATTGATTCATAAAACAACACACGCAAAAGATCTTGCTGGGCTTCTCCTTTTAAGATTTAATTTAGAGGCAAATCTAAGCATCAAAGAGTCTTTTCTAACAGTGATTCATTTGCTTATTTGTAAGCATCTTTTCCTGATATCAGGGTTTCTGGAAGCTTAACTAACTTTCTCATTTTATCTTGGAAAGGTTATTTCATTAAAACAAATAATATTCACTGATAAATTTGACAAGACCCTGCACCACACCTCATTGTAATTTGAGAAAAGCATTAATAAGGTTCTGTGAGATTATAGATATTAATCCAAGGGGGCAGATGGTGTATTAACAGCTTTGAAGCACTGCATCTGCAGGAAAGATGGTAGATACAGGAGCTCATTTAGCAGCAAGACGAGGAGTGGCTCTGATCATTACTTGCACAAAATGGATAGAGGCAGCAGAGTGAGGGAGAAAGAAGACTTAAGGATAACTGTGATTAAAATCTGAAAGTGAAGAGTAACTCCCTTGTGATTGATTTGTGGGTGCAGAACTCCACTGATGACTGTAAAATAATTTTAGAATGTTTTTAAGAAGATACTGAAAAAATAAAACAAGATGGTGATCCGCCAATTTAGCTTACAATTCACTTGAATTGGAAAGACTTAACTCTTTTCATTCATCTTTTCCATAAGAGGCTTTATAATGCCATGCCTAAAGTTGCTTTCAGAAGAGTCTTGAATGAATAATGCAATCCTTTGTGACTTGGAAAAAAAAAAGATATGATTTGTGCATTGAAATAGGAATGGGAGGTTGCTAATTGTTTGGGCTTGCTGGAAACTTCTTTATGTTCTGGTTTTAATAATGCTGTATGAGAAGCATTTAATACTTTATTGTTGATGGGGAATGTTCCCCAGAGTATTAATTTTCCCTGCTGTTCCTGGCTGGTGTTCTGCATTGCCAGTAACCAACTTCTGTAGCCTCAGGCTCTTTCTAGTGTACGGAAATAAGGGGAAGATAAAGGGGGCAGACTGTTTCAACAATCTTAATGCCAACTTTGACACAAAATTGCTTTTTGTTGTTGGTTTAAACTTGTCACTGTCAGCATCTTCAGTCAACTGTCATGATACCTCCAGATAATAACATTGTTCCTGCATAGTTTAGGTAAAAATCAAGTGAGTATTTCATACACAGAAAGAATTGAGGATCCTAAGCTTGAAAGTACTCTTTATGTGGACATCAGTGTGGTGTTTTTCTCTTACAAACAGCTACGAACAAAATATTCTCTCTTTTTCCTCTCTCCCCTTTGTAATCTAAAATCAAGGTAGGAGGGAGCTGAACACGGTGAGAGACCCACTGACTTTTTGAAATGCAAGTCTGGAAACTGTGCAACCAATGAAGCAAGGTTTTGAGATTCAAATGCTAATACAAATGATGAAGTTAAGAGCATGTTTCTTTTACTCTAAAATGTAGATCTGAAACTTTTCTCACTTGGGGAAAGAAGAATTCGATCATTTTTTTATTCTTTGCATAAAATATATGAGCAAAATATAACCATAGTTTTGCTTCAAAATAACATTAGCCCTCCATTTTCTATAGTGAAAGAGTATTATTGGTTCTCTATGATGTGTGCCTAGGCAGAGGCTAAAATATTTGCACAGAGCAGATAAACTGCTAATCCCATGAAAGCCCTAGGAAGGATACAAAGGAGAATAGCAACTCAAGCTGCTAAAGTTTTTGGTACTAATGCAGAAACTAAGATGGGGACAGTTTGAGTGGGTTTCTAAGTACACCAGAAAATCTAATAAGCAGTTGCTTTGAAAGAGAGCTATTTTACATTACTACAATGTTGATATAGAGGGATGCAGCAGAAGAAATAGATCCGGTTTTAACACACTTGTAAAGGGTCCACACTGTTGTAGGAAACAGGCTTGTAGACTTGCTGAAAGTATTTGGGATGATAGAGGAAGACAGTAAGGACAGTGCCTGATTTCGGATCCATTGCAGCCTACCAACCAAGGAGGACCAGGTAAAGCAAGTCCTTTTTTCATCAGTCACTACAGTTATCCAAGTACTGAATGAAAGGCATGTTGAGTACTAAGGCATTTCTTGGAAAATAGACACAGACAGTGCAAGTTTTTGAAAGATATTGGGAAATATGTTTTGGCATGGAAAGTGAAGAAAACTAGAAGGAAGTAAATTTCTATATTCATTTCTGACCTATAAGGATGAACTATGCTGAGAGATGAAGAGAAAAAAGGTGGGAATTATTACACCCCTTAAATACTTGTGTCTGTGGAGAGACTGGGTGTTTGGCTGGGATTGCGATAGAAATACATTGTAGGTATCTAAATTTAGATAAATGAATTCCAATATTGGTCAAATTACTTAACAAGTATTAAAAAAAAGAAAGTAGGTGTGAAACAGGTTGCTCCTGTGGAAGGGTGTTTTGCTGACAGGCGGGGTGCACCACAAAGTGACCACACACTAGCTGTGTAACATGCGCAGTTTATTATATGAGCACACTAAAGCCAATAAGCACACTAAAGCAAGCACACTAATGTGCATGAAGTAAACATCTCCTATATATAGTGAATAAGTACAATAAAGCAAATCAGAGATAGAGGTATGTAAGTGAAGTACCAAAGAAAGTTACGAATGCGTTAAATCATTACTGTGTAGAGAGAACAGAGATTAAGAAGAAATACATCACTGATTACCACTGAAGCATCATCCAGGCCCACACTTGCAGCTGGGAAGCCCCGTTGCATCCAGTGCCAGGAGTCTTAGGTAACTGGGAAAGTCCCTATGTGGTGCATCCACCTGTAGGTAAGGCTTTTCTCATGGCCGCAAGAGGGTCCTGCTTTTATACCCTTAGAAACACAACCGGCTTTATGCCAGATCTCTGATTGTTTACTCATGGGGCTGTGCAGTTTCTCATGATCTCACCATTGTCCACCCTGAGAGCATTGTCCAGGGCCCCAGTGAAGCCAAGTGTCACAGAACAACTGCACACCTCTGTTTTCCTGTCTGTTTCCGACATACAGTCACGATGAATATAAATATGTATACTATGCTGAATACACTGTGACAAAAACCATACTTTGTTATGCCTCTCAGTCATGAGAGGTAATCAACTCTCAGCTAGGTTTCCATCCATTACAAAGGGTGTAAGCAATGAGAGCATAGTTTGTAACTACGGAAGTTTTAAGTTGACAGTGAAAGATTTTCTGTCATCTGGATGGGAAAGGAAACTAACGACAACCAACCTAAATGAAATGCATCTTTTGCTCAGTCTTCATTACAGCAAAATATTTCCTTTAGCAGATCACCACCCCAGTTAAAATCAGTGCCAAGTCCGAAAGCAAGAGTCAGAAATAGGGAGACTGTGTAAGAATTCCAGGAGGTGATGCTTGGCCTGAAGCATTTTCTAATGTGATGATTGGAATTAAAAGAAAAAAAGGAAAAAAAGAAGAAAAAAAAAAAAGTCTCTCTGTTCTGAATAGCCATCATACTTCTTTCTGTAGTGGGGGAGGGAAGAAAGCGTGAATTCTAAATAAAGAGTAATCAGTCCTTATATGCAAGATATTTTATGCAACAGTCTGTACATTTTATGCTTGGAATTTTGGTAATATCAATTACCATTAGAATATACCCTGGCTGAAGAGCATTAGGCCCTTAGAGTCATGTTTATCATTCTAGTCATGTTCAATATGAATGGCTTAAGGTTTCACATACATACTTTCTCATTTTCTGGTTGTGTGCTTCTCAGGAGTACAGAAACATTAGCTTCTGTACACTGAGCATAAATTATCTTTTATCTGTGAGTTTTATGGCAGTTTGTAATACAAGGTAATAGGATTTATGACCAAGAAATGAGAAGATGTCCAAGACTTAATGAGGCCTGTCTTTTACATGTACTGAGCAGTTCAGTTTTCCCCACACAGGATTCCAGCCCTGGGATGTAGAAAAGAATTGCTACCTAAACATGAAAATATGTTACAGCAGCATATTTTGGCAGTTAGCTAACTCTTTTGAGAGAGTGTGTGAATACTTTCATAACTCTCTTCCCTGCGCACAGCTTTTCTTGTGAGTGCATGTCTGCCTTCCCTGTGAGAAGCAATAAATAATTTAACATCATAGATAGTCCAGCAGCTAAATGAGTCCTGTCCCTTATTCTTGGCTCTTTACTACCATTTCATTGAAGTAAATTGTATTGTCTTTTGATCTCAGTCTCCTGGTTTGTATATTGGATAAAACTCAGGTCCTTTTCTGAATGGGTACTGGGAGGCTCGTTTAGTTTTGTACAAAACACCATTACATCCTTAGCTCTGCACTGAGGTGAAACACAGGCTCGCATAGGTAATAGTAACAGTATTAATAAGGCCCTTAATTAACATAAATATTGCCATGCAGTAGGCTGTGCAGCTCATTAGTTTGTGTGGT